ATTATCCAAATTAATCTATGCTTTAACAAGGGGAACAGGGTTATTTATTATTGTTGTTGTTGTCATTATTATTATTATTATTATTATTATTATTATCATTATTATTTTTATTATTATTATTGCTGTTGTTGTTATTATTGTTATTATTATCTGGGACGGGGAAATAGAGGGGGGCGTGGGGAAGGGGACTGGGGATAAAGAATGTGGGTATACTCCAAGAAAAGTTGTTCTTCATACTTATTTGTTTACTTATTATTATTATTATTATTATTATTATTATTATTATTATTATTATTATTATTATTATTATTATTATTATCACAATTATTATTATTATTATTATTATTATTATTATTATTATTATTATTATTATTATTATTATTATTATTGTTGTTGTTGTCGTCGTAGTTGTTGTTGTTGTTGATGATGTTGTTGTTGTTGTTGCTGATGTCATTATTATTATTATTATTATTATTATTATTATTATTATTATTATTATTATCATTATTAAGATTATTAATATTATTTTTGGTAGTAGTAGTATTATTGTTATTCATCTTTGTTTCTATTATTGGTACTGTTATTATTGTTGTTTTTACTATTACCACCGTCGTTTAGGCTATCGTTATTACTATTATCGTTATCATGGCTATTATTTTTAAATAATACCTTTAATATATAAAAGCAATATAATTTTACATTCCCCCCTCCCTCTGTCTCTCTATCCGAATGAAATATATGAATATATCTCAATCCATTTCATTCAAGTATGGAGGAAATGATGTCGAAAAAACAAAACAAAAACAAGCAACTTTACAAGTTGAAAGTGATTTAAAACATGGGTCTCTACATCTTTCTTTCCACTCCTTACACAAGAGGATGTCAGTTAAAGGATGTGACCCTCTACAAAAAGAACAAAAATGCAACAGTTGAGTTTATACATCATATTTCCACTCCTTAAACCACGAGGAGATTGGTCTTATAGATGTAACTCAATCGAATGACCAAACACAAAATGAGAATAGACATCTGCTTTCCTCTTTTTTTTTTTTTTTAAATGATGATCTGAACATATAACCTCAAATTGTATGGATTGAATTACCTAATTTAACGTATTCATACAAGGTATCTGATCCCATACAATCGGCGGATTCCAAGTAGTGTCCTTTTAGAAATTTTGATTTATAATAATATTGCTCCATTTTTAAAAAAAATATTATTTCATTATTTTACTCAAATGAATTCTATTGTTAGCATTATTGTTTTTTATATTGATGTTATGACCATGTTTTTTCTTCTTCTTCTTCTTTTTCTTCTTCTTCTTCTTCTTCTTCTTCTTCTTCTTCTTCTTCTTCTTCTTCTTCGTCTAATTCTTCCGTATTAAACAGAGTATGGTTTTTCTTTGATTTTGACAAGGATTGTGTACGTTAGGCTTGTCGCTAACTATAAAAGCAAAAAGTATGGATTTTCTTGCACTGACCGCGTAAATCTTTCAATATAAAGGACAACTTAAATGTTTCCAATCCATCCCAAGAACTCGTATTGGTGGATGCAATGCAGCTTGGGAGAATGTTGGAAAAAAGGAACTAGCTAAGCAAGTGTATGAGCAGCCTGACACAGACATGGAGACGTTTTATGTATCAACTGGAGATGTCAGACTCGCTGGATCAAAATGTTAATGCATGCCATCTGATAGACTCAGATGAGAAGCCAATGAAGCCAATATGACATCTGGAAGTGGTGAGGACTTGATAAATGTGTGATATCTGTGAATCCACTCAGTGGAAAGATGTCCCGTGGTCCCGTGGAACTACTTCATGCACCTTCTGATTCTTTCACAATATAATACTTTTTTTAAAAACACACACACACACACTTTGAAAATAACCCTTGAACTTTGAATCGCAAGAGACGACGGCAAGTCATTTCTGGCGTGAAGATCAAGACATGAAGGATGGACTGTCAAAAGTTTCCTTGTCCTTCCATCCTGTCTGGTTCATTTACAAACATCAGCTATCACCCTGTATGTTGGAACAAGCACGTATCCCAAGGCAGTGAATAGTCTGGTTCGGCAATGCATCTTCAGAAAATAATTTTTTTCAGATTTTTGTTTTGTTTTGTTTTTTAAACATTTTGATGGCATAATAAATTTTTAAAGGGCAAATATACGTTCCTTGAAGTCCCTTCTTGAAGATCACAAGCACATTGCCGATGATTGTGAGTATGAAGTTGGGGATATGAAATCGGCATATTGGTCGGAGTTACGTACTAAGAAATGCAGAGATTCCTAAGGTTTTAAGTACGAAAAGGAAAAGAACAAACATGAGTGGATGTGTGATATCAAAGGAAGGAAAGATTATATCAGGTCAGCAATACAAGCTCTTGGGATAAGTGACCAGCAGGTGATCCAAAATGTTGCGCTTCGATTGTGTAACAGATACAGGAAAGAGGCACAGTAACGTGGCTACATGACATAAGAGCTTGAAAAAAGTGAAGAAAATTCCCCATTAATCTTGAAATGTAACTGTATAACACTGCTCAAGAATCTGAAGAAAAAAATCTGTATAGTCCAGCAACTTATGGTTTAGCTTTAATGATGATTTACTATGCATGTAGTCATTAACATGGGCATAAGCATGCATGGTGTCAAAAGGAACAGAAATTTGACCGATACTCTTCTCAAATGTGATGCCGATACATGAATCAGCATCTGGACTGTATGGATTTGCAGGACATGAAAGCATCTTTTACTTTTCCACAAGAAATTGCATTTGAAAAAACTAGCTATTGTCATCGTTGATAAGGGTGAGCTCTACTCAAAGCTGATGCATCGTGACGTGATGTGACTTGGGCTCATTAGATAAAATTTGCCTACAGTTTTAAGAAGCCAGTGAAAGAAATTATGACAACCCAGGTCCCCAACAAGTGATATTGAAAAACGAAATCACTGCAAAGTTGAAGGTTAAACGATCCAATGTCCTATTGGAAGTAACAGTGAACTAGCAGTCCACGCGGAAGTTCCTCAGTGCCACGGACTCCAGAGTGCAGTACGGGCCTTATCGCGTGCAAACAATGATGACAACAGATCTCCCTCAGACGAACAACAAGTACCACCATACGGTAAGGCTCAAGCAGGCTCTGAGCCTCCTCTCAAGAAAGTTAATTATATAATCATGCAACATACCTTGAGCCATAAAGTTAGTCTGTTCTGCATGATGTCATAAAAAATTACGCGGCCAGTGAAAGAAAATCCATACTTTTTACAAGCTTAACATACAAAAGCCTTGTCAAAATCAAAGAGGAAAACCCTACTCTATTTAAGGATATCGTTCCAATTTTATTTTTTTTATTTATTTTTTTAAAATGTTTTTTGGTTGGGGGGAGGGGGGCATTTCATTTTTTTAATGGCATACGAATACGATTCTTTCAAACTCTTTAAAGGAACTGGGTTGGCTGGCTTTCGTGGTTGCAGCCTGAACTGTATACCAAGCTTTCCTAGAGAAACATAACGGGAGATGATGTTGGGTGTATTCTTTTGTTGAGAGAAGCTCTTGTCCATGACAGATTCATCAGCATAGGAAGCAGAAATCTTTCAGTGTAAAGCACAACCTAAATGTTTCCAATGCATCCCAAGAACTCGTATTGGTGGCTACAATGCAGCTTGGGAGAATGTTGGGGAAAAGGAACTAGCCAAGCAAGTGTACGAACAGCCTGGCACAGACATGGAAAAGTTTTAGGTGTCAACTGGAGATGTCAGACTCGCTGGATCAAAATGTTAATGCATGCCATCTGACAGACGCTGGAGAGTAGCCAATGTAGTCAATATGACACCTGCATTCGATCAGGTTTATCACATATTATGGTCACCACAAACACTCCAAGCGGCTTACAGATTTGTGGGCTATTCTGGCGTCACTGCTAAAGAGACACCTGAATGATTTTTTTTTCGTTTACGTTATGCTCAGTCATGTCAGGCCATCCTTATCCATGCATGGATTGCAACTGTAGAATAGGCAATGAAGGCAAGTTCGCCCTAGTTTTCTTGCGATACCCCAACAATTGTCAATTTCGGATAGATTCTAGCTTTAATACTACAGCCCCCATTCCTACTAGCAATAATGAAGGTAGCAAGCTTGTAAACCAAACTGATCAAGATAAAGACGAGAGTAAAGACTAAACAGGTTATTGTCCTTTAGATTAATGTTCTTTCTAACTATGCAATAATATCTTTTGAATGTCTAAACTGCACATTATCCCCTAACGGTGATATTTTTTGCGGGTTGCATCGATTCTATAATGCTGCTAAATTAGATCTACACAGTGAATCCTGAGCTGCAGTGTCACAGATCAATGGTCACAGGTTTGTACCTATACAAAAAGTATAGACAAGGCCCCCATACTGCGGATGCTATATGTGTTTACATATTCGATGAGCGGCCAAACTGGATTTACACAGCTTGGATAATAATAAAAATACGAAATGATACAAAAAAAGAATTATCCTAGATCAGTGAATGCCATTAATTCGTGAACTTTAAGTTACTATTTGTGATACCAACGTTTTTCCCATTTTCAATACGGACGATGGCAGCCATATTGGATTATTTGCACTTGTATTTTACGAAAGGCTAAAAATGACACTAAAAATGAACTTCTTGACCTAAAAAACCCTATTTAAATGATGTATCACACTTCATATGTGTTGAAAAAAAACAATGAGAAACAATGAGTAATATCGATATTTGCCATTTGGCGGCCATTTTGGATTTCAAGGCCTCATGGGTAACGCCCACCAGGCCACCACTAGATCAAGATGTAGTTTGCTCAGAGTAGGGTCACATTTGGTTTCTTCTTGGAGTGATTTGATTTTGTCCGTGCTGAATCTGACTTGGCCAACGGTGAGGTCGAGGTCGATGGTTTTGTCGTTGCCGGGGCTTGGCAGTCTGGACAGTGTGTCTGCTACTGTCATGTCTTTTCCAGGCTTGTATTCGATGGTGAAGTTATACTAGGAGCATTTGCTGTAGCCTGGGAGGTGCTCTGACGAGGTGTTTGTCGAGGATCATGACGAGTGGTTTGTGATCTGTTCTGACGAGAAATTTCTGACCGTAGAGGTAGGTGTGAAACCGTTCTACTCCGTAGACGATGGCCAGGAGTTCTCGCTCAATGCAGGCGTATCGTGTTTCGGCGTCCGTCAGAGTCTTGGACGCATATGCAACAGGCTTGTCATGCTGAAGGAGTGTCACGCCTAGACCTTGGATGCTAGCGTCTGTCTCCAGTGTTGGTGTTGTACCTGTGTCGAAGTAGACCAGAGTGGCGTTCTCTGAAACTGCATCCTTCAGAGCATGGAAGCATTTCTGATGGTGTTCGCCCCAGATGAAGAACGAGTCCTTCTTCAGGAGTTCTCTGAGTGGAGCTGCTTTTTCGGCCATGTTGTTGATGAATGGCGACATGTAGGTCACGAATGCAAGGAATTCCTGCAGTTCTTTCTTGGACGTTGGCGCTGGCATGGCTTTCGAGTCGTTGACCTTGTCAGGATCAGGATGCACGCCTTCAGGAGTGTACGTGGCGCCAAAGAATGTGATGGACTGAGTCTTTATGGTGCACTTCTCTGAGTTGAAGACCAATCCATCCTCTGCTGCGGCTTTCATCAGGTTGCGCAGGCCTTCGTCGTGTTCTTCATCTGTCTTTCCGTAGATCACAACGTCGTCCGAGATGCCGGTGGCTCCTTTCACGCTTTCAAAGATCTGGTCCATTTTCAGCTGGAAAATGTCCTGAGAGACCTTGAGACCGAATGGTAGTCTGGTGAAACAGTATCGGCCATATGGAATCTGGAACGTCGTCAAGAGCTGGCTTTCTTCGTCGAGCTGAACTGACCAGTAGCCACTCTTGGCGTCCAATTTGGAGAAGTAGCGACTTCCACAGAATTGATGCGTCAGCTCTTCAATGGTCGGAATTTTGTGGTGTGGACTTTTCAGTGCAAGATTCAGGTGACGTGGATCTAAGCAGATTCGAAGCTTCCCTGACTTCTTCTTTGAGTAGGCGAGGCTTGATACCCCATCCGCAGGCACTGTTATCTTTCTGATTACACCACTTGCCACCATGCTCTCAAGCTCCTCCCTGATCGCGTCTCTGAGATCAATTGGAGTTTTCCTTGGTGCGTCGATGTGTGGCGGGACGTCTGGATCCACCACCAACCTGACGGGGCCAGGCATCTTACCGATTCTGTCAAACTGTTCTGGGTGGTCTTTCATCAGGTCCTGGACGCAAATGATCTTGTCCTTGGTAGATGGGTGTGACGTTGAAATGCTGCAGTGCAGTGTCACTGCTTTCAATTTTTCGCATGAAGGCAGTCTAATGATGACTGGTCCTTCTACGTCTACGACATAGAATCCTGTTTCCTGCCACTCGCCTCTGTAGCGACAGGGAAAAGCTGTCTTGCCAAGGCAGGGAATGTCTGTACCGTTGTAGGCAGTCAGCCTTGTGCTGCCTTTCTCTCTTAAGACCTGTTTGGCCGGGACCCCCTCCATTGTCAGCTGCTCAGGGAACATGTCCCTAAACATGCGCAGGGGCAGTGTGTTCCCCTGTGCGTCTGTGTCGACCTTGACAATGATGTTGTGTTGCCCAGCTCTGTTTGGAGGTAGTATTTTGAGCTTGACGAATGTTTCGTCCCGTTGCTGGGGTAGTGAAGAAACAGAAGAGATGGTGACCGGGCTGAATGTTAGGTCGTCAAAGTTCTCTTCGTCGATTTCAGCCTGCGTCGCCTTGATTTTTGCCTCTAGCGGCTTCCGCTGAAGTCCTCCACCTCGGCTGCCTGATCCGCCACGTCTTTGCCAGCGTCCGCGTGAAGGTAGATCTATGCGTGAAGACTGGTGCGGCCCGGAACGGCAAACTTTGGCGAAGTGGTTAGTTTTGCCGCAAGTATGGCAGGTAATACCATGGGCTGGGCATTCCCGTGGTTTGTGCTGCCCGCCGCAGTTTCTGCAAGGGGGACAAGTGCTGGACTTGATGGCGCTGATGCTGGTAGAATCTGCCATTGTTTGTAGCTGCTGTACGTGTGATGCAGTGGCCTCGAATGTGCGACCCATCTTTATTACATTGGCCAATTTGACACCCTTTTGCTGTTCAAGAAGTTTCCTTTGGAAGTCTCCGATGGGTGTGCTTGAAATGATTAATTCGATCAGTCTCTCTTCCAGTTCCACCACACTGTCGAAAGCACACTTCTGTGCCTGAAGCTGCGCCCTTGTCACAAAATCGTCTAATGATTCTGATTTGACCTGCCTCATGCTCATGAGTTTGAGTCTACTCACGCGAAAGTGTTCAGCCGGCTCGATTTGTTCGCCCAGTTTATGAAATATAATAGCTGGATCTTTCTTTTCGGCGTCGGTGAGTGTCATGGCATTAAACATGCGAAGGCCTTTCTCGCCAATTTGGAGGAGTATGTAGGCGACCTGGTCGTCCTTATGTTTCTTCTTTGTGGCAAAATAGAGTTCGAGTCTTTGTTTAAACATTTTGAACGAATCTGCCACGTTTTCGCTTTCCCACATCATCTCGGGAATCTGCTTTGAGGACATATTGACGGTTATTGACCTCTAGATCTAACTACATGTACTTGCTCGAGCGGGTGAGGCTACGAACTAACAAACAACAGTTTATTCGGGCCAAAAAATCCGATTGTAGGCTTCTAATTCTAGCTAGATGCACACTCACGGGGACTGGATTTGCTGTTTGTTTATTTTTACCGCTGCCACCAGGTAATGATACATTAAACATTTTTCATTTGGAAATTTTGAATTTTGCCCGGGTGGCGGCCGGAGCCTACTCTTATCGATTGTAGATCACCAAGGGATCATTAATTTAACGTACGCAACTTGCACACGGGACCTCCGAGATTTTTCGCCCTTGTCCGAGAAGGCAAGGAGTAGATCTAGATCTTTCCTACCAGAAGATCAAGGGTGTGGCTGAAAGACAGCAGTAAGGAGCCAAGGAGTAGCAGTAAAAAGGCTGCAGAAAGAATCAGGAGCCCAGAGGAGGGGGCAAAGGAGATGAGGGAACGGGGGTAGAACGTGGAGACGAAAGCAGATGACAGAACATTGCTAGAGAGCAGGAAAGGAGGTGAAAGGAGACAATTTTAGAGAAAAAACATTTTCCGTCGCTACCCCGATTCGAACCCGGGACCTTTGACTGAGAGGCGAACACCTAAACCTCTAGGCCACGAGAGCCCCCCATTGAGTTTTGTTCCGGACATGACGTCTCATCGCGATGGTGGGTTCAAACTCCCTATATTTTTGTTTAATTTAGGGAACCGACAACCAAGTCCGATACATGTCTTTAAAGACCTTTGGATGGCCTTCAAAACGGGTTTTTCCTGGTCTATGTGCGACTCCTGAGTCTCGAGATACATATTTCAAGTTGAAAAAATAGACAATTAATTTATAACCATTGATTATTCAAAATCTACTAAGATCTAGGCATATAATCTTTTTTAAACTAACCTTGTTGATCAACCATTCTTTGTTCTACCAGAAAACGTTTTAATTGTTATCTTAGAAGCCTTACCTTGGCTTGGGTTACCTTTTTATCGATCAAATCAGCGGAAAACCTAGCTGAACCCTTCCACTAGTGCAGGGTCGCACAGGAACTGAATCGCCACTCTTCCCTGAGGCCCTGCGGTACGCGATTCCCGATTCACTTCAGCAGAACGCGGAACAGTAGATTCTATCACCTTTCCATTCACTCCCTGTCACTGTCACTACCATGCGGCGGCGGCATGTTTGTAACTAGCCTATAGAGTAGGCCAGAGGCCTAGATCTAGCGCTAGGTCGCGAGCGCAAGAACGGAACGGAACACTTTATAAGCTGGAAATCCATAGGCACAGAAACTGAACGGCAGTGGAACGGCACCAGGATCAAATGTGCGGTATCGCAAGTGGCAACGTCAATGTTTGAATCCATAGACATGGTACGGCACGACAGGTTTACGCCTTATTTGTTTTGTGTCGATGCATTAGCAGCATGGCACCTACCCAGTCAAAACTGTCTGTAGTGCGGTCAAAAATTCGTGGCGCAACTTATTGTCAAATATATAAACTATTGATTCCAGTTTTCGCACAATGATTTGTGTGAATTTGTCTAACAGATCAATATTTTGTAATCACCTGTTATTACTGTTAACTGTATTCTAGAAAATTCCTTAGTAAATGCAAACAAAACATCCAAGTGGGTGGTTTCTATAAATTTTAAAAGATTCACGGCTCGTGCAATATCGCTTTTAAAAGCAAGTCTGTCATGTTTTTCTAGCCGTGACACTATCTTCATTGAACGCATGTTTTGAGAACCTTTAAGGCAAAAAAATGCGTTAACTATAAAATCAATTTCTTGTAACAAGTTTTGCCCCCTAAAAAGTGTCATTGATTAGCTGTGACGTGGGCCATATGCGTATACAAAATGTGTGAGAAGCGGGAAGTTCTGAGACAATCCCATTTTCCGCGTGAAGGAGTTTTATAGTATTTTATATAAATTTATAAAGAAATTTTTAAAACTAGTCTCAATTGTTACGGGAAAATATAATTAAGTTAGACAAATTGATACAAACTGCTGTGCAAAGTATGGATGACGCTGATTCACCCGTTAAACAGATATTTGAGGATAATTTACGTAATGAATGTTTGACCGCACTATAGGTTCGGGAAACAAAAGTGCCCGAAATGCAACGTGATATTTTCGAAGGAATATTTAGGTGCCACGCCCACATTTTTTCTCTGCTGCACCGGAAGAACCGCTCCTGTGTCTGTAAACAGTGCCGGTGCGGTACCGCAGAACTGCGGTGCTGTCCCGGTGCCGTTCTGTTAATGGATTCAGACAATGACATTTCTGTTTGAGCGATGTTTACCGTCCCGGTGCCGTTTCGCGGCTGTTCAGTTTCGGTGCCTATGGATTCCCAGCTTTAGCATGGCTCCCCTTATTTTACAAAATATGGTATAGTCCAACCTCCCTATAAAAACAAAATGAACGGGTTCCAACCAATGGACAGGAGGGATTTTATGGAGCCATTTTTTAATGAATCATGGTGGGGGTGAATCAATTAGTATTGTCTGATACTACACTCACCTCTCACCTTCATGGCTCTACTCGACTATGCCTCACATTGAGTGTGTGATATTATAGACTTATTGAACTTATTGGCCTCATTTTGCGAATCGTCTCAGTATCATGTTGTAAAACCTTTCTTTGACCTCAACATGTCTTCCCGTGGCAAATCAAGATTATGTAGGAAATTATTCATTCTAAAAGGTGACAAGAAATCTGCGGTTTGTGACATTTGTAAAACTGAGTTGGCATACTGCAAAAACTCAACCACAAACTTTATGCGACTCCTTCGGCTGAAACATCCTTTTGAGTTGGCATTGTATGAAGAGCATACTTTAAAACATCAGCTCAACCAAGATCTTTCCTGAGCCTCACCTCCTCATCTACAGCATCTAGTCATCTACATCAGCATCTGCATCTGCAGATTCTCCTGTCGTCAGATCTATGAGTATCCCGGCGGCGACATCAGTTCCCACAAATGTTGCACATGCCCTGGGTACGTCAATGTCAATATCTACTGAGCCTGAAAAGCATATGACAATCGAGGCTGTTGTTGAGCGCACTTTAAAGTTAAAACTTGGAAGAGCGAGGGGAAAAAAAATTGGACTCAAGCGTCCTTGCGCTCATCACAACAGATTTACAACCTCTCTCGGTTGTAGAGAATAAGGCGTTCTGGCGACTCGTGAATAAGATGGACACCCGATACATTATTGTTTCGGGGAAACAATTGACTTCTCATCTCCTGCCAGACCCATACAACAACGAGAACCTCAAGTTGATGGTATTGCGTCGACATCACGTCAAAATCACTACAGCTTGTTGGACATCAAGGCAAGCGGAGGCCTACATGACAGTGACGGTCCACTTCATTGATCTTGACTGGCATCTTCTTTCTCGCATGTTGTCCACAAATACCCTCGAGGGATCACACACAGGGGAGAGAATCGCCTCAGCTCTGCGACACCTCTTCCCAGAGTAGGGCATCGAGAAAAAAGTCACAACGATCGTCAAAGACAATGCTGCCAACGTCAAGAATGCTGTTGAGATATTGAAGATCAGACACCAGCCCTGTTTCATCCATACCCTTATTCAGGTGGTTAACTAAGGAGTGGATCCGCAAAACCCCGGACGTGTTTGCTGCAAAAACGAAAGTGACAAACATTGTATGTGACTTTTTTTCACCATAACTCATTAGCCAACATCGCATTGAGAGACGCATACAAGACCAGTCAGACAGTGCATCGCAAGTTAAAACAGGACGTGGAGACACGGTAGAATATCACCTTTGAAATGCTCCAGTCCTACGTTTATCAACATGAGCATGTGACAACTGCACTCTGTATTACAGGAAAAGCAGACCTGTGCATCACAGTAGCTGAACTGGATGTTCCTCGAGCAGCCATGAGAACACAGGAGCCCTTTTTCGAAGCAACTCTCGATGCTGTCAACAGACCTCCATACCTCCGCTTCAAAAATAATTCCTCTAGTCCATCTTCTCTTCAACTGCCTTTTTGGGGGATACAGCTGACTTAGGCTAATACCTCAGGACACAGTTGCAGGAGAAATTTGGAAGTATCAACACGAAATACCACCTGAGTTTTTCCACGTTGCTTGACCCCCGCTTCAAACGTGACGGCTTTTCCTGCCTCGACTTATCAGCTGAGTCTGTGGATAAGTTGAAAAAAGTCGCTTAGAACACCGTGCTGCCCCTGCCCACGCAAGAGGAAGACTTATTGAAGGAGACTGATGAAACATCTCTTACTCCTGCCAAGAAGCCTAGTTTGTTGTGGTCATCATTTGATCTACACAGAGAACAGAAGGAGAAATTATTGGCTCGACAATTTACCGCCTCAGAAATGGAAGTTCGGCGCCACCTGGAGACCCTTTGTCTTCCAAGAGAGGCACACCCACTCGACTGGTGGAGGGACTACACCATCTCAACACCAAGACTTGCCCGATTCGCAAAATATATTTTAGGGATTCCAGCCTCCTCAGTACCCAGGGAGAGGTTATTTTCCAAAGCTGGGGAGCTAATTTCTTGCAGAAGGGCAGCTCTAAAACCCAAAAACATCGACATGATAATTGTTTCTAAAAAATATTAGAGATTAAATTTGAAATAATTTGTACATTTGTGTCATGAGGCGGAGGCGGTGGAATCAGGCGCTCATCCATTTTTGGGCATGTGGAGTTATTGGTATTATTTTAAAGCCAGTTCATTCGTCTAGCTTTTGTTGAAAAAAGTACGCATATATCAAGAATACAAGTCGAGATATTTGCGATTGAAGAAGGTGGGGGCGCCTGGTTTCAGAGGTAAAATTGGCGAGAAAATGGCCATCAAAGTTTGGTGACTTCCAAAGCTTGAGAATCATTAGAAACTGCAAATTTACATACTAGTACAGTGGTCTCTGGCTACAAAGATAGCCAGGACCAACATCTGTTAAACCGGGGATCACGTTTACATATTTACACTGGAACTAAAGATTAACCAAAGGAATCACTTTTATTACATACCTAGATTACCCACAACTGGTACCAATTTGTCGCTCAATGCTACTTTCTTTTCGAGTGACATTTTTTTTCCTCATTTTTTTCTTTTTTTTTGTATCTTAGTATTCTTAATGAACTTAGTCCCACAGAAGTTAATAACGCTGGCAAGACATAATTTGAAATTCACATATAATAATAACAATACAAAAAAATAATAATAATGATAATAATTGCATAATATAGCATACATGAACATTCATGCTCTATAGACTCTTCAGCAAGCTCTGTATGCTCAACAACTATTCGTAACCAAATAGTTACCATGTTTGGGAGGAGCACATATAGCTCTGCAGCAGATCTTGCGCTCAGTGCCAAGGAGGTTACTCTAAGTCACTGACAGGATTTGCCTCAACATCAGGATAAATCATATCAAGCCTACCCCCCCCCCCCCCCCCCAAATCCCCTAACCACTGTATGACAAATCATAAAATGTGTGCACTATCGACTTTGACCTATTCTGGATCACTTAAGAGTTATGCACCATCAATGTTGGCCGTTTTCCTGCTTCATTTGCTTTTTTTCTGCGTTCTTGTCCATTTGTTTAAGGATCATGTCGACAGTTGGACCACTGTTACTGTTATAGCTGAGCACGTTTGTCTGAATGCCTGTTATAAAAGCACCTTTTTACTATAAGTTATGAGAGGAAATAAGTATGCTATAGCCAAAATCCTGTTAGAACTGAGACTGTTGTAAGTGGGGCCCACTGTAGTAGTACAGTAGTAGAGATTGTCGACAGCTGCTTATACTAATAGGATTTCTTTGTTCCTGAAATTAGGACGAAATTTCGACCAAATGCTCCTAAGACCTCAGGTTCATTCAATACATGTACAACAAACCAAAAGAAAACCCATGTTGAAGGCAAACAATAATTTTCACTTTATTTGCAGAATATTCAACAACAAAGCTCAGAGTGCTTTTCACAAAATTATCACTGTCAATTTTTTCACAGCCTGCAAAACCTAAAATTAATTCTCATAGTGCACATAGTTGCTGGTTTGCTGGAAACCTCTGAATAACAAAATATACAAAGAAAAAGCATAAAGAGTCCACAAACAGGCAGACTTTTTTCATGTAGAGATGGAAAAAATGCATTTGCAGAAATGTGCGAGAATTTCAGCACATTTAGTTGATTTAGACTCTGGAAATCTATCAAAAAGAAGCTTGTTTTTTGATGAATAGGCACCGAAGCTGACTTTTTTTTGTTAGTCTTTTGAGATTCATTTTAACCCTTTGAGTCTGTACTCCTGAACCTACAGTCATGAGCTCTTGTGCATCAACTGCCAAAATAAAGAGAACCTAAGTAACACCCTAGATAATGGGAGGTCGCAGATCATAAATTAGACCTTTCCAGACAATCCTTACAGGGATACAAACATATCATTGTCCCATTCATCAGAAAAATTATAGGAAACTCCACCTTTTCTTCTTCCGGCTATCAAGCAGCCAACAAAGTTACTTACTTTTTTTACTCCACAAAAATGTGCGGTTATAGAAAGTAAAACAAATGGCACTTGGAGACAACATTATTAAATATCAGCTTAAGGAAAGCCTACATGAATCTTCTGACTAAAAAACAACTATTGTCCCTGAGTGACAGAGAAGCCATAGGAACCTGCTTCTGTAATTATGATGTCTGTAAATGTTTCACGCTCCCATCGACACAAATTTAGGTGATTTAGGAAGTGGGTTGCTTCCACCCTGCCTGTCAAGGCCAACGTAGGTCGAGTTGGATACAGCATCCCAGCAGACAGACCGAGAAACTCAATTAAATAACTTCTCTACACAGGAATCGAACACAAGAAGTCTTCTGTGGAAAAAGTAAAGGGTCTATCCAGTACACCACAGACACTTTGGTAGAAACCTACAGTTGCAATCTTTAAAAGGAAGCTTTTCTTACACATGAGACCAAGAACTGTTTGCACAAACTTGAGAACAATGTAGCACACGCTGTTAGATCTGGTCTGTGGACTACCCAAATTGTACCATTTTTTTTTTCTTCATTTGAGTTAAAGAACCAACTTGATCAAATCTAAAGAAAAGTGATAGATTAGTATCAATCTTTATCTTGACATTATCATGTCGCATAAAAATGAACATAAAGAAATAAATATCTCGAAAAAAAAGCTAATGTAATACTCCTTAAAACTGATCAGAACGAGAAACATTGAAATCCATTTTCTTTTTTCTTTACTGGTTTGGCACAGAGAAAGGATTCTCATCATTGAACACCAGATCCTTGTAGGAGTTTGTCGTCCCAGATTGCAGTAACTGTAGTTTGATGCTGGGACCCTCACTGCTGGTGCACTCAACCGTTTTTTTACTGGAACTTTTGGGGCTGACTAGTAAATCATTGGAGTTGGAAACTGCGATTTTGATGACGCTTCCTTTCTCGATGAGCTGTCTCTCGTGAGCCATGGCTAGCTGGGTCACCACTCGCCTCTCCACCTGCGGATAAACACAACACATGTTTACCTCATGACATAGCTAAGTCACCATTCACCTCTCTATTTGCAAATATACACAACATACATCTATCTCTTATGTAAGGAGATGTCATCAATCACCTTTGCACCAACAAATAAACGCAACTTACATTTCTCATCTTAGTATAGAGAAGTCTCTTTGAATCCAAGGGTTCGTTATAGCAAATATGAGGTTTTGTGTAGATAATTATAGGCACTGAGCAAGTAATATATAAAGAAAAGTAACAAGTGGTGCCTGGAATGCCTGCTTATTATGAGCTGTGAAAAAAAAAAAGACCAATTCGTTCAAATTATGCACGCCTGTGTTATCTCGATTGTTTCCCGAAAAGTTGTGTTGCTGTGTAGAGCCTAGCATGCAGGAACTTTTGATTCCATAAATCAGCGCACAATTCATTAGGTAGATCTACGTTAAGACTAGCTTATCATTGTAATAATGATCCGCTCCCGGGGGGGGAAAGACTGAAGCGTTTGTATCTGCGATGTTCCACGCCCGGACCGATGGTGCCCCCTCCCGACGTACACACACAGTCACACTTGTGCAGGCCGCCTATCTGACCCCGACACTCGCTAGAGTAGACACGTGCGCATGCCAACAACGCATGTGTTGGTATGAAAGAAGGCCGCTGATTGGTTGCATTCAATTGGGTAAGTGAATAATGGTCCACAATGCAGGTGCAATGGGTGGTTTCCAAGAAGAGATAAAGTTCGTTATGGGAGAAAAATGAGCTCAGCCACGTCTGCGGGGGGCTGTTCACCCTTGAAGCAACCTCGTTGAATTCGAGCTTACTGATTTAAGTGTTCTTTGAATCCGGGTTATTGTTATTGATTTTAAAGAAGAAAAAAAAACAGGGAATCCATGTCCTCTCGTTGAATCAGAGCTCTCGTTGAATCCGAGCTCGGTGAATCTGAGTTCCACAGTGCAGAAGTTACCATTCAGCTCTACACCAGTCAAAAGAAAAAACAACAACATTTATTTCTTATGTAGAGAAGTCCCAACTTATCTCCTATGGACAAATACAGAATACATTATCTCAAACAACAATAATTTTTTCTTACATATTATAGAAAAGGCACATTTTTCTTTAAGAACTTTAATGTCACTGAAATACAACTATCTGACATTTAAATCTGACGGCCCTGAGAACATGCCTCAGTGTACCAAATGAACCCTCAAAGTATCATCAATGCCTTTCACCCCTGGCAGGGTATAGGCCTCATACAAGCTTCTTCCATTTATCTCTGTCCTGGGCCATCCTGCCAAGATCGTTCCAAATGAGCTTCATCTCTCTCATGTCCCCTTCCATGCATCTCCTCAATGTTTCGCGTGGCCTACCCCTGCCTCATGCTCCTTGTGGGTTCCACTGCAGTGACTGTCTTGTGATGTTTCCGCTGCGCTTTCTTAAGGTGTGTCCCATCCATCGCCACTTTCTTAGTCCTATTTCTACTTCTATACCCTTTTGTCCTGTCCTTTCCCACAGTTCTTCATTTCTTATTCTATCCTGCCACTTAATTCTTAGAATACTCCTCATACATCTGTTGGTGAAAGTCTGGACTTTCAACAAGAGCTCAGGTATACAGGTCCTGAACGGTAAAAGCTCATAAGCTGCAGACTGAAACTATACTGACCAAATTAAATCACTGACATTAAGCTGCAGCCTCATTTTCATTTCTAGGAAGGACACAGTGTCAAACCTGGCATCAGCAGTCACACTTTCCTTTCACTTGCACTAAGAGCAAAAAAATATGAACGCTAAAAAATTGCCAAGTGCATAGAAAGTATTAAAAAAAAAGCTGTCAGTGTCAGCCAATAATGTAAACAGGGCAAGGATAAGTGATGGATGGTGCTGTCACAGACAGTGACCCACACACGGCGTCACTTTTCGTCCGACTTTTCGTTGGCGTGACTCAGCTGCCCACCGAAGCTCCTCGGCTCGGGGTCACAGGGTTAATGAGCCCTGAAGTGACTTTGCCAGTGTCGGTTAAGAAGTTCCCATTTTTGTCAACGTTTGAAACGATATAACTTCTTCCCTATCCCACACAGCGAACCATTATACTGATGTACTAAAGGCTCAACGTCTTGAGATTTATTTTATGTTAGAATGGTTAATTTCTGTGCCTTAGTTTTTGTTCTAGACAAGTGTTTGTAGAGTATCCAACTTGTCCTATTTTAATTACAAACTTATGAATAAATGATTGTTAATTTTAAAACGGCAAAACAGATCTCTCCAAAATATGTGTTAAACTGTATATGAATATCGTGTCTTTTGCCATGAGAAATCTTAAATTTGCGCAAGAAGTAATAGTCAAGTTCTAAGAGAAGAAAGATAAACTAAAGACACTCAGCATTAGCTCTTCTTGTTTTACCATTAAATAAGAGAAAGTTACCCTGCATTTGTTCAAGAATCATGTTTTGTCTGTGGCAGCCTGCATACAACTAAGAAAGGTATATTAAGCGATTTTTTTCAAACACAAAACTGGGTAAATATGTGGGTAGAGATAAACTTCTTGTATGGAATAATATTAATGACAGCTAACACATTCATTATGCGCGGACACTCATGAATGTAATCAAAACATTGTCAGTTATTGCAAATGGTCACAAAATGAAAACAAAAACAAAAGCTGGAAAAGTCTGGTGCTGATTCAGTGTCATCGGAAAGCTAGAAATTATTCTTATAACCCAATTATGAGAAGTCATCCCTGTTATTCAGTCAACTTACAAAACCTAGACTTAGCGTTTTAAGAAAAGTAAGGAATTTCTGGAGTGTAACAGATACTGTTAGTGTATTACATTGTAGATGCCTTCTGGCAATAAAATCTATTTGTACTTTTTGATAGAGAGACTTCAGGGTAATTTTTATAAACTTTCGAGAAAATAGGCCAATATTCATGATTATATTAGACACATAAAAGTGTATTTGGAGGAACTACTTCATAACGAATTGTGTGCCAGATGGATAAAGTTGCAAAACTACAGCTTTCTATGGTATGCGCATATACCATCTTTTCTGAGTATCTGCACCAATGTTATGTCGTTCATGTTCCAAAAGTTCGACAGTTTTTGTTGCGCAGTTTGTTTTATATTGGGGGTTTTTTCATTCACATTTGTCAAAAAATTTTTACAATTTAGCATTGCCGACTTCAGCGCGTCTAAAGAAATAGACAAGTTACAGACAAGTTACAATGTCCGTTCTTTTTTTATTCCCATGAGCAGAAATGAATGCTTTGGGTGCATTGAATGATAATTACTGTAAATACTGGGACACACCAAAAATTGTACATTGAAAAGTACCAAAAATTAAGTCAGCCCAGACAGAGCGGCGACAGGGAGCTGACATGCGTGACTCCAACGTGATAAGGCACTCGTCGGGGAACCCCCCCGCTGCAACTAAAATTCCACTGCCAGTGCGCCATGCATAACATACCTCATATTTGATGGACCGAGCCCCGTAATGAGTATCAAATCCTTCAGCAAGAGCATCCACCACTTGGTGGTCCCACAAGAGCTTAATGTTGTGTTTGCTTTTGGCCTGTAAAAAAGAAAAGAAAGGTAAGCCAAGAGGCAGAGCCTACAACAGGTTTTGTGAAAAGTGGATCACATCCACACTAAAATGGTTGTCTGGGGTAGAAAAAAGGCAAAAAAAGACTGATTAAAAAAAAAAAAACAGAGGAAAGAACAGAGGTAGGAACTACCCGTCACACCCTCCAGCCATCCATTAAAACAGCGTTACAAACATATGGAAATACAGAAGCTTGCATGACAGAACAGGCAGAGAGAACCAGCACATCTGCTCTCAATTTTGACAAACTTTTTAAAGGTTAGTTATGGGCTATTTTATTTATTTTCTTTATCAAAAACACTTTGTGCCATCATTGACAAAATTTGCATTATTCAAGAGGTGGGCTGCTTCCACCCTGCAAGGCAAGGTCAACCTGGGCTGAGTGGGATAAAACATACCAGTAGACAAACAGTGAGATCTGATAAAATAACCTCCCCACACAGGAATCAAACTCACATCTTCTATGTATAGTAAAAAAGAGCTCAGTCATTATATCACAAACAGTGCTTGTTATCTTTTGATAGGAGAATTACCTGCAAACAGAACAAAAAAACAGTGAAAGTAGAGTATAACCCCCCAGGGTCTTCACACATCACAATGCTCACAGCCTGCTGTTTCTTGATTCTGTAAGACAGCTCCAATCCCATTGTCAACCCCAGACATTGCACACTAAAAGTAATTCGAAAAGATGATCAAGGGTGTATACGTTACTTTTACTTTTTTTTAAAGACTTACTCTCTTGGCCCAAAATTTTAATTCTTTGGTCACTAGTTTTGACAGTTCCGACTGCGAGAATGGCAGGAAGTAGACTATTTCGTTGATGCGACCCAAGAACTCATCTCGGCGAAATTTGTACTGGGAAAACAAAAAAACATCAATTTAAAGATTTACAAAGTCAGCTCATAAGCCATAATCTATTTTTACTAATGTTAAAGCACTGGTTTTGACCACAGAAAATGTCTGAGAAACACAGTTTTGTGAATAAAACTATAACCACTAAAAAGTGCTTTTACATCAATTCATGATACATCCCATAATCAACCACCATCTATAAGGAGCTTGTGAAAACTAGAACACTAAAAACTTGTAAAAAATAACAGTGTTTACAATATACAGAAAGAAAAAGGTACACATTACAGTTTGAGTTCATATAAAAACACTGCAAGAAAACACAAAAACAAAACACAGCGCTAGGACTACTTTTAGGCATCTATGAAAATTTCACATCATTTTCAAACGTTACAAAACTTACCTTCAAAATTGGTCTGACCACCTCATCTTTGAACTTTCTGGAAATTGTCACCTTCTCAGCTTCTTCTAGATCCTCTGTGAACAAAGTATAAAAATTCTTTGTTACAAAAGGTGTTGCAACCAATGATTTTATGCCGAGTGGATTTTTCTATAAATTCAATGTTTTTTATAACATGCCTTTTGTCATACAGCCCTTTGTTCATAGCTATAGAATACAGTCATCAAAAACAGTAATAATGTTTTGTTTTTCCTCTCTTCATCTTGTCAGAGCTTCCAGCAGACTTGCCCACTGAGTGGAACAGTCTGTACCTGAAGACAGCCGGTACCTTCTCTGTGAGAGGGACAAAATAAAACTTAGTTGGGAAAAATTTAGGAATACCCCAGTTCATTGTGTTTTTCCTTCTGCAATATTTTTTTCACAATTTGCAATAAAGTTGCATAGCAAAGCCTTACATATACACCTTAACATACAAAATCATAAACTCACCGATCTTAGAGGCTCCCCTCATCCCAGACAGTTTACTGGCTTCCTGACGTAGCTCAATAGCATGCTGGGCTATCACTTCACTCGCCAGGTTAGATGTCATTATAAAAATAGCGTCTTTGCACTCGATAGTTTTTCCTTTGCCGTCGGTGAGACGACCCTGAGAAAGAGCAGAATGGGAGAACACAACTTTATCATCATTTCCTTTGACTGAAACTGTGACCATGGTAGCCAATTATGACTCAATTTTCAAAGTATAGAAATAAAGGTTAACAAAAGGTCTTTTCCCAGAAGGACCCAAGCGCAAACCTGAACATTACTACCTTGACCCTTCTGGGTGCCCACTAACTGCCTTAACCAACAGTGGTTGTATGCAAGTCAACAGACAGGGGCTCAGGTGTACAGTCTTGTAGGCTCATGTTTGTTTTTTGTTTTTGTAAAGTGTTTTACGGCGCTCGCAACTGCATAGGTCATATGAGCGCGCGCGACACACCTAATATTTTCAGTTGGTAGGAAATTTTGAATTTTGCCCGGGTGGCGGCCGAAGCCTACTCTAATCGATTTTAGACCACCAAGGGATCTTTAACGTGCGCAACTTGCACACGGGCCCTCCGAGATTTTTCGCCCTTGTCCGAGAAGGCTAGGTGTAGATCTTTCCTACCAGAAGATCAGGGATGTGGCAGAAAGACAGCAGTAAGGAGGAGCTAAGGAGTAGCAGTAGAAAGGCTGCAGAAAGAGTCAGGAGCCCAGAGGAGGGGGCAAAGGAGGTGAGGGGGCGGGGGCAGAAAGTGGAAATGAAAGTAGACAACAGAACATTGCTAGAGAGCAGGAAAGGAGGTGAAAGGAGCCAATTTTAGAGAAGAAAATTTTTCGGTCGCTTCCCGGATTCTAACCCGGGACCTTTGAATGAGAGGTCAACACCTTAACCTCTAGGCCACGAGAGCCCCCTGTCTTGTAGGCTCAGGGAGGTAGGGCTCAAAGGGGTAGGGTAAAGGACTAAACACAAAATATTTTTTTTACCATCATCAATTTGATTTCTAAAACAAAGAGATCATTTGAAGAAAGGAAAGAAGGAAGGAAGGAAGCAAGGAAGGAAGGAAGGAAGGAAGGAAGGAAGGAAGGAAGGAAGGAAGGAAGGAAGGAAGGAAGGAAGGAAGGAAGGAAGGAAGGAAGGAAGGAAGGAAGGAAGGAAGGAAGGAAGGAAGGAAGGAAGGAAGGAAGGAAGAAGGGAGGGAGGAAGGGAGGAAAGGGAGGGAGGGAGGGAGGGAGGGAGGGAGGGAGGGAGGGAAGGAAGGAAGGAAGGAAGGACGGAAGGACTCAATTACCTCATCAAAGAGTTGTAACATGATTGTGAGCACGTCTGGGTGTGCTTTGTCCACCTCATCAAATAGCACGACAGCCTGGGGACATTTGGTCAGTGCTTTGGTCAGCTGACCTCCCTCATCATGGCCCACATAGCCTGGTGGGGAACCGATGAACTTGGCCACCTGTTGGTCAAACAATGGAGTAAAGTCAGTTCATTTTCATTCTTTTTATTTGTCGAGATAAAGAACAGAATTAAATTTTATTCAGAATTTTAGGGTATTAGCCCTTTCATATAAAAAAACAGCAGCATTTCAATTTGACAGAAAAAAACAACAAAAATATTCAAAATACCTTTTTACAACAGAACAGTCAAGAAATTTTCCCAACATTTCTACAGAATTTCATCTAAGACTTTACCTCATGTCTTTCCTGGTACTCAGACATGTCGATGCGAATGAAACCCTGAAGAAGACAGAACATCATATAAGATAGATAAAATAAGATAAGATATGGTGAGATGAGGTAAGATATATATACATAGGAAGTATATTGATCTTCCTTTGAAAGAAATTGTCAGAATGTTTTCACTGGCTTCTGATCATATCTACAAATTAAATTCTCACCTCTCAATCATATACTCCCTCTTTCCTTCTATCATTACCAACTAATAACATGGCAACTCTTAAGAAAAAAACACAAGACATATGCATGAAATGAAATATGACAGTGGTCGGCTTCTTGAAAGCAAAAACATTGTTCACATTGCAGAAGGTAAAAATGATTTTCTGTACTGCCCTCCATTTGTTTTAGCATGCAATAATCAGTCAGGAAAATGGTCTCACAATTATAAGTACATTATTTACGAAGTTCACCGGTCCCCATATGAAAAAGGTACCAAAATATGTTATTCATCCATTAATCAGAGAAAAGACACTTCCATGAATGTAATATTTCAGTCATGGAACTCAGTATGAAACACAGCTTGTATTTGTTTGAGAAAATAGGAGCTCATCAGCAAAATGATGGTCATTTAGTGCTGGGAAATATCAATACAGATAAAGCAAAAATAGCAAAGGGACTGTATAGAAGAAAGACCTGCTAGTGGAATCCTCCAACCACGAGCGATGGAAACAACTTAAAAGTACACACAGACAACAACAGAACGTCAACGCAACACTCACCTCTTTCTTGTTTTTGTGTATATAATTGGAGACTTGTTTCGCCAGCTCTGTTTTGCCTAGAAAGCCAAATCAGAAAAAAAGAGAAAAAAAAGTCAGCCCAATAAGCAAAAAAAAAAACATAAATCAAATCAAAAAGAAAATATCAGCCAAATCTGAGAACAAATGTTGGCAAAATCATGTTTTTAAAAAAAGTAACAGCAAACACAAACAGTACACTGCCCCTTTTAGACAAGACAACAGTACTTCAGGTGGGAGTTCTCCAATGTTTGTGTGGTCATTGAGCTCAAACTCACAATAATTCTTACCATACGTCCGTGACATGTCGTTTAGATATGTGGTCACTGTGGTGTGTCCTTGTGCAAGACATGATTACCAAGGCTCAAAAACAAGGTGCAGCACACAAGCTATCAACAGTTACGTGTTGATTGTATTGGTGTGGTTCTGCAAATTATATAACAAAGAAAAATTATTGTACGAACTTATTCATGCATGTATGCAGGTATGGCACTATAAACTAGTTTTTCCCACGGGAATCAATAAAAAGCGTAATTTTATTTCATTGCATTTTTACTTTTTTTTGTGACAGAGTTGGCACTATAACTTCCTAGGGTATCTCAACAAAAAAATAAAAGAAGCCAAAGCTAGCCTCGGGAAAAGAGGTATTATGGAAAAAAAGACCCACTATGGCTGCTGTGGTCGTCGAGAAATTCCTTACCAATGCCGGAGGATCCTAGGAAAAGAAAGACCAATGGATGGTCCTCATCATACCAGCCATTCTCCTTACGACGCACAGCTGTGAAGACAAAAGTGAGATTCGCTGTAACCATTTCAAAACAATAAACTTGAGTCACCACACTTGTCAATACATTTGAGCTGAGACTAGCTTTTGTATCGGAAATCAGCAGAGGCAAATAAAAGAATTAGTTCCTCCCAGTGGCGACTCCCAACTATCCTGAAAGGCAATCAGAACGTCTAAGAAAATTGTTTGATTTATGGGTGAGCTTTTTTTCTATTTTAATCCTTACTATTATAATGCAGTGTTTCCTTGAAACATAGAAAAGTGAGTTTCCCATGTACATTATGCCTGTTCTCAGCCCCATGAAAGTGGCTCCTTAGTGACATCTCTGCCTTAGGGCCAATGTAGAAATGATTGATCTCTTTAAAAATACAAAACAAAGCCGATCAGGGACACAAACCACGAACCAGCGGCAACAGTGTTGATGGCAGCTTCCTGTCCTATGATGTTCTCCTTCAGACGTAACTCCAGAGGGAACCTTCGTCTTTCCTCAGCCTCACGGGCTTCCTTCTCTTCCTTGAACTGGGAACAAGCAATTTGAAAACAGGCTAAAGACAGCAGGTTACGTCAACCCCATGCCCTGAATGTGACCATCTGTACCCTTCTGTGCACCAAACACATGCCTTAGCATACGGTCGTGAATAGTGTAGTGAATATCTAACAGTAATAGTCAAAGAAAAGGAGCTCAGGTGCCTGTATCCTGTAGGCTAATGCAGTGGGGGGGGGGGGGGGCGCAGGGCTCAAAGGTTAAACGATTACAGAGTGTAATGGGTGGGTTGGTTGAAGCTAAACAGATTAAACAGAAGTGCATTAAAAAAAGTACTAGTACTTAACAAACGCTTAGTGCTGGGATAAAAAGGAAAGGACAGAAACAACGGAGGGATTGTTAAAAATAAAGACCTTCTATAGGCAATGCCCTCGTATGACGGCTACCAACTCAAAACTGAAAGTAAAAGAGAGACAAAGATTTATACAAAAAAAACAACAAAACATGCTTACAAAGACAATTAACATTTATGAAGAGAATTTTTAAACTTTTTATTATTTTTTTTATATAGTAGAGGGTTTTACGGCACTCGCAACTGCATAAGGTCATATGAGCGCCAAATTTTTAACTTTTGAACAGAATTCTAAAACCTATTAAAAGAAGTCAAAACTTACTAAAAGTAGGTACCAGAAACTAAATTTTCAAAGTAGCTGTGTGCCAAATTTATCTGTTCCATTTGAAAGGCCTATACCCACTGAGCATTTTGGAACCATTCTTTAACCTCTAGTCAATTTTAAAGATAATGGTAGTTGTATAAAATTTGATTTAATTTGTTAAAGTCAGTCACTGGCTGCAACCCCATGTTTGACAGAAAATAAAAGAGTACCAAGTGCACTAAACATCTCCACATTAACAGAGTACAATCACTATAACAAATATATGGAGCCTCATTTTTTTCAAGACTGTGAGATCATTACAAATCAGTATTTTATCACTTCAAACACGATGATCTGTCGTTATTTCAACAAAAACACCGAGCGTTGACCCGGCCGGCGCCGCACCGGCCCCCGCGGCGAGCGAGTCGGCTTATACTGTAGTGTACCCTGCGTGCGGGGTCACATGCTTTCCGAGTCTCGCGGAAGGATTGATGTGAAACAATTCCAAACTGATTACTTTATTCTAATACAACATAAACTGATCTTTTCATTAATGCTTTTTTGTTGTTTGTTTGTTTAGTATAGGGTTTTACAGCGCTCGCAACTGCATAAGGTCATATGAGCGCGCGGTGCCTTTTTTGAGCCGGTATTTTACATATTTTGTGTAAAAAGTGATCTTTAAACATTTTGAAAGCATTTTTGAAAGCTTTCTATTTAAACGCCAAAGGCCAAATAAATATCACGGGAAAGCCTGTTTAGAGCTCTACAGTTCTCCACCAATGAAAAGACAGTATTTAATCATCGCTCGTTCCGCGAAGCATTTGAATGCACGCGTGTCAATTTTTGAACCGGCCGACCACGCATTCCGACCGCGAGGGGCTTCGCTTTTGTCGGCGATTCTCCAGCTCCTAATAATCGGACATATAAATAACTTACATCATTGTAACGAGGAAAAACTGAACTTTTACAAGGTGTACAGCATTTGGTGTTTTATAGCGAAAGAGCAAAGAAACAGTGATCAGAATTACCCCGATTTCACCCATACCACGCGGTCAGAAGGCCGCGAGTGCCCGCAAGGCCGTGTTTACGCTACCTACTAAAAGAATTGTAAAACTTACACGTTTGGCAGACGCTTCCAACATCTCCCTAATACTGGGGTCTCTGGTGTACTCCAGAGCTCGGTGGCCCAGAATGTTCTCAGTTGTGGGGTCGGCCCCTTGGGAAAACATAAATAAGCAATCAGTCTAGTTTAGGTAAACAGAAGTACATCAACAGATGCTTTGTTGACAGAAAGGGCTTACTTTTGAGAATGGTCATAAATCTTTTTGTCTTAGTAAGTGTTTTACCGCACTTGCAACACAATAAGGTCATATAAGAGCTGAAGAATAGATCTATTACAAGAGAGTAACATACACAAGAGAGTAACATACATGAAAAAGGAGGAGAGATAAGGACGATAGATGTTTGATAGGAAAAAAGGAACAAACCACACCAGAGCATCAGCCAACTACCCACGGTCTTAAGTCCGGGACTTTTTTAGAATAAAAATCTTTTTCTAAATACAGAGTTGAAAAAAAAAAGAGTTGAAAACAAAGAAAAAGTAAGAAAGGCAGTGCGATTACAGAGAAAGAAAAAAATCTGTAGCTACTAGTAATGCCCTCAAATCTTGGCAATCAGCCTTCCAAGAAATCCATATATTCTTACATTTTGAGTTCGGTTAAGTAAACAGCCGTATATCTACATCAACCAGATAAATAAGGTCTGAATAAGAATGTCTATTGGTGCGACATTGTGTATTCTATACATTGATGAATTAATGCATATATGTTTATGATGTCAGTGTGTACGAATTTATGTAAGTATATTATATATAATATAATATGTATGTAAGCCATTGTAAACCAAATTTCCCCACTATGATCAATAAAGTGGAATCTTATTAATTTCTTTAAATTTCTTTATTTTCATTTTAGAAGAGAAGGGAGGGTCTGTATACCTGCATCCAAGAGGTAGCGAACAGACGTTTTGTCATTGATGAGCACTGCATAGTGAAGAGGTGTACAATCTTGAAAGTTGGCACGATTGCTCAAACGATCAGAAAATTCCTCTTCTCTCGTCAGTAGAACTGAAAAAGTAAAAAAAAGACAAGTAATAAAACATAATAGATAGCATTTGTATAGCGCAAATCCCAAACAACAGCAAGCTCTATGCGCTTCACAATCTATACTATTACCCCAGCAGACCTGAGAGCATCCTGAAGCAACCTAAAACTTCCTGGGAAGCATATAGTGCAAGAGGCCATATATAGGCGCTAAAAGACTATCATACAGACAAGATCTTTCGCCGTCTATGGCCGGGTACCCATTCCCACCTGGGTGAAGTGAGGAAAATGTGTGTAAAGTGCCTTTCCCAGGGACACAATGTCAGACCTACTGCTCCAACCCCCGAACCCGCAACTTAACGGTAGCCTAACCACTGGACCATCGACGCCACAAGTGGCAAAGCACATACAGAAATAGATTAACTCCTCACTAATTCAAGGTTTAACTGTTGTAAAGTTAAAGAGAGCCTACAGTTGAGTGAGATTTCACATCACAAATATCCCCCATTCTTCCAACTACCAAAAGTGACCTTTGAGACCTTTCTGTTTGTGATCAAGTTTGGCTGTTTACAGTTGGCTGTTTTTTTAAAACTGGCCCACATACTAGAAAACTAACTGGACACAAAGAAACCACTTTGACACTAGAGATAATTATAAAGACTACATGTTTTACGGCCCTATTAATACTATTAATATCACTTAGAAGAAAGACTGAAGAAGATACGGAGGCAGAGGCCAGTATTGCTGTGGAGAGGATGATGCTTTTGGGAATACAAAAAGGAAGCGGAAAATCTGGCATCCTTGCACGAAAGAACAGAAGAACGTTCAACCAGATGTGCACTGGCACAATCAGTGGAAGGACCCTCGGCAACATTTTGGAGAGAGCAACGGAGCATTAATGGACATGTCCGGAGTGCAGGGATGTTGCTTCCTGAAACAATGAACAATATAGAAGAAAGACTGCTTCAACCCAGTCTGTCAAGGCCAACCCAAGCTGAATGAAACCTAACATCCCAGCATGCAGATCAAGATACTTGGCACAATAACTTCCCAACACAGAAATTGCACATAAGTCTTCTGCAACAATGGCAAAGTGTCTTCTCCTTACTCCACAGACACTGGCTCTTCAGCATGACAAAGTACATTTGTAGCAGATCCAATAAAAGGAAACAGTACGGGGCTCACCATGCAAACCATTCAGTTGCTTCTCTCTTGCCTTCTGGGCTACAGTAGAAAACTGGTCCGAACAATTAGGGTCTGCTCCTGCATCCAAAAGCAGTTTCACGATTCTGAAGCAGAAGAAAGCCCATATGAACTGACAATAAGTGAACCCAAGAGCTGAACACAATACATCTATTTTGGAAATTTCTTCTGCTTAGCGCAATAATAAAATTACTTACATACGGTACTACGGAGAATTCGTAAAACACTGCAATTTAACCATAAATACATACATTTCACATTTTGGAAAAGTTCCATTTTTTTCATCAACACATGCTATAATCAGTATTTTAGAGTTTAAATTTTGACAATAAGAAGAACATTCTTAGCGGTGTGTGCAGAAGGGATCTGGCTTAGAGCTGATCACATGCAAAGTGTTACTCAAAGGGACAAAACGCTTTAAACTGTGTTTCATCTTTTGAATCAACAGTATTCTATCTCAAATAACTAAAAGCAACTAAATCAAAAAAGCAACCCATGTAAAACTTGCAGGACTTTATGGTGTACAACCACCAACAAAGACCAAACTCAATTTTTAACTTTTATGAACATCGCAAGGGGGCAGTTTTGGAGTGATATCAATCTTCACTTTGTATTTTCCATGTACTCATGACCATCAGGAGTATTGTTAAATAGCCATTCAGTGAGTAAATCATAACATCAACAAGGCGTAAAAAGATCTAACTCTAAAACACATAAAGTTTGCATTTTTAAAAGCAACAACAACAACAACTCTTCTTAAAATGTTCTTTCAATACTCTTTTTCATAGATGTACTAACTCTGAATGTTTGTTCACTGCAGCCACATGGAGAGCTGCCCAACCCAGTTCGTGTCGTTTGTTCACATCAACACCAAGGGTAAGCAACCTTTTAACTTCTGATGTAGCTCCTGCTCTGCAGGCAGAAATCAGGGCATCTTCTGTAAAGAAAAAATGAAATCAGTCATAAATCTTGCAAGCATAAAATTTTTAAGAAAAACAAGGTCAATTTTTTCTGTGTGTGTGATTGGGGGTTGGGGGGGGGGGGGGAGACATGGCATTCAATTGTTAGCCTAATATTTTTATGCTCACATTGACCCAAGTTTTATCATTTCAGAGGACCGTCAGTTGAGTCAGGAGCAAGCTGTTACAAAGTAACTATAGAAAAATATTTTTATTCCAAAAAATCCCAGACTTATGACCATTTCTCAGAAGTAAGCCCTTTCTGTCAACAAAATAAGCCAAGTAGTATATAACTCGGTTTAACTAAACTTAGTCTATCATTATGCCCATGGTTATCCATATCTCATAATCTGGCAATTGACATCAGTGTCATTATTCGGACCCCCGGGGTGCCAATAATCTTAGCAAAGACCACGAAAAATCTTTTTCTGTCAGAAAGTGTTTGCAAATAGGTGCATTTTGTAATTGTATCTTCACAGAGCATGGAACTTTTTGAATTTTAGAAATCCATCGATAAACAAAAAAGTTTCGAATTTTTTAATCAATTAATTTTTGGTACACTTTTATATAAATTATAAATGAAAAAAACCCAAAATATGGGACGTTCTTTGATGAGTTTTGAGACAATATTCGTCACAATATAACTCGCTCATTTCTCGGAGTATGTAAATGAAACTTGGGAACCCAGTACATTTTCTAGTGCAGAATCTAGCCCTGCTTTCAGATTTTTCATAGCTATCCCACTTTTTGAGTTATGAAGACATTTATAGGTAAAAATGTTGCAGTTTTCTGTGCGTTTTGAGACAATATTTGTCATAGCTAGTCTATTTTTTGGAGTATGTAAATGAAACTTGGCAGTCTAGTACAGTTTTTAATGCAGAATATAGTCATGCTGTCAGACTTTTAATATCTATCATACTTTTTGAGTTGTAAAGACATTTACAGGTAAAAAAGTGGCGTTCTTTACAGATTTATAAAGATTATCAGTCATATTTTCTCCCAACGTCATGATATTCGAATGAAACTTGGCAACATAAAGATTTCTCCTTGCCAAGCAATGCTCTGGATCAATTTGTCACGAAAATGTAAGTAGAGAACTGGATTAATTAGTCTAATAAATCCAGTGCTCTACTAAGCATATGAACACTTTGTAATAGAAAATAAGATCATCTCTGTGTATATCCATTGTTGGACAGCGTCCTATTGTAGGGTAGATTAAGATGCGTTTAGATTTAAATATAGCTTACAAGTCATGGGAATATTTCGCATGTGTAGGCTACAACTCATACCATAAATGTAACAGATATTTAAACCCCCACCTCCCTCCCTCCCTCCCTCCCTCCCTCCCCCCCCCCCCCCTCTCTCTCTCTCTCTCTCTCTCTCTCTCTCTCTCTCTCTCTCTCTCTCTCTCTCTCTCTCTCTCTCTCTCTCTCTCTCTCTCTCTCTCTCTCTCTCTCTCTCTCTCTCTCACACACATGCACGCACGCACGCATGAACGATAACAATGTATAAACGGGACTATCTTCCCAGACTGGACTAAATAAGTACCATTCTCTTTAATAACAATCTTACTGCCTCACTTTTCCAAACACAGCAAACAGGACGAGTCCAAGTGTGTGCTTTCTCAAGAGGTGGGAATAGGCTTTCATAACGCAAACACAATGCCATACCACTTCTCAAGATGCTTGCTTTCCTGTTTCTATTCTTCTCTCATGCTAATAAAAATGACTACATCTATTGTATACTATATTGTGACTAAAATGCAACACAAATGTAAGTTATCAAGGCCCTCGTTTGGTTTTCAAGTATCCTTCCCCCCTGTCCGGTTCACATAAGCAGGGCCTCGTCTGTAGCGCCCGAGGCGACCGATGGCTGATGACGTCACTCAGTGGAACTTTCCCGGCCGCAGGTTGTTCACCCAGCACACGCAAATGGCAATGCCCCTTCTCCCACATTTTTAAAGATTACGCAAAAACCGCTAAACACATAAGCATGTAATTTTAAGGGAATAAAGAAAAATGGTGAACAACTTATCAGTCGGTTTGACAAGTCACAGCTCCGAAAAATCTTCAAAGCGCACCACATCAACCACTTTTGCAAACGTTTTTGACTGCTACTTCGATGGGCACAAACTTGTCAATCTGCATACTACGAGACTGACCTCTTTTCTGATTGGCTGCCAAGTTTTATTCATATCCTTTACCGAGAAGCGGCGTGAGAGTGAGTTGAAGACAACAACCATTGCATTAGTTCGTACCACGAAACATCCCCGCAGCGGGGACCAAAAATCGGCAGAACAAAACGCGCTCGGTGGGCATTGCTAATAATCTGGTCATTATCGAGACCCCCTTCCATATTTAGACACACTCTGTCCGGGTTCCGGTTGGAACTTGTATCAGTCCGGCCCTCCTTGCTCAGTGCACATGCGCCGAGCATCATCCATGTGACGACTGTGTGTGTGCGTCAGTCTGCTTGAGTTTGTGTGCGTTTGTGGCCTACATGTAGAACTGCCGGCATTGGTTCATAACCAAGGTGTGTGTCTCATTCAAAACATGCTAAGTAGGTAGCTAGATGTTCGTCAAAAGAAATTATAACAAATTGACCCACTTAGACATGATCAGAGCTCAGTGATAAGACTCGTGTCTCGGCACAGCAGCAGAACAGGAGTTAAGTCCAGGTTCTGTGTGTGTGTACGTTTTTTTTAGTTTGTTTTGTCTGCTGAACAAAAATTTGACTCCATTTACGTGGCAAATCATAGCCTGCAAACTATATGCAGGGAGTTGTGAAAGTAGCATGTTAACTAGATTAAGATCTACGTTCACGGCGCAGTGAACATAGTCACTGCGTTTTTCAAAAACACTAAAACCAACTTGCCAATAAGTTTTATAAATGCCTCTTCACCCTGGGAGAGAAAAAACAAATGCAGCCCATATTAATACTGTTCCCGAGGGTCCGAATAATGACCTGATTATTGGCACCCCGGGGGTCCGAATAATAGAGGCCAATTGACATCTAAAGTTCCCCCCTATTACCATTAACCTTTCCAGTTTCCAAAGCTTCCTTCTCCTAACACCCCTCCCCTCTTCCCTTCAAGCAATTACTAAACTTCCGACTTTTCAAGAAAAACACCACACATCAATATTTAAATTTAAAAATCAAGCGGGGGGCTCTCGTGGCCTAGAGGTTAAGGTGTTGGCCTCTCATTCAAAGGTCCCGTGTTTGAATCCTGGTGGCGACCGAAAAATTTTCTTATCTAAAATAGTCTCCTTTCACCTCCTTTCCTGCTCTCTAGCAATGTTCTGTTGTCTGCTTTCATTTCCAATTTCTGCCCCCAACAGGGGCGGCTCGTGA